CAAGCACGTTAAGGACTACGGGAAGCGTGACAGCAAGTATGGCAAGATGGACAAACACAAACCCCCTAAGAAAGACAGTTATAGCAAAATTCATGGAAACGGCGACGGAAAGCACAAGAATCAGTACGGCAAGAACGAGTACGTTCAGGATGAATACGGCTACAAAGATGCCCATGGAAAATCACAGGACAAGGACTACAAGCCTCGACTACGCAAGCCAAGTCACGATAAGGAGAAAGAGGGTGAAATCCAGCAACATTACAAAGAGACCGAAACAGTTATCGAGAAGGGCTTTGGAAAGGTGGGCGAGGTGCTGAATGATGGCAAGGATGCCATGTGGCTTGGGCACAAGGACCAGAGCATGCATGGTCATCATCATCACCACGCAAATAATTTTGACAATCTAGGATTCGAAGATCAAGTTTCAATTCGCCGCGGTTACAGTAATGATGATGCAGGGGCCGTCAACAGGAACTACAATTACAACAGCTACAACAACAATGATTATCAATCCAATGCCCAAGGGTACACATGGCAGGGGAGCTGGGAGAGTAATGAAGGAGAGTACTATTATTAGGGGCTTGTCTTGGGATTACTGTGTAACATGCGCGTAACGCGGGGAGCTAACCTCAGCAGTCTGTTGTGAGTTCATAGTCGTTGGTAGGTGGAAAAATAGATATTCGGGAAAACTCAAGCATATAGCGTCAATTAAGTTGTCAAGATCTAGGAGCTCAGAAGCAAACGGCGTTTATAAACATGATATGGTTAAATTGACAGGAAAGGACGTTGATTGTTGTGCTCTCGCTCAGATTTATTACTACCGAGAGAGCTGAGTGAAATGAAAGTGTTTTTTTTAAATCAATTGCATCTATTAATGCAGATGACACATTGGTCGTATAAAGGCCTCTCATATGCCACCCAAAAAAGATGGAAAACAAGACCTAAGGACTGCCCCCGTGGTAAATCGTACAGCATGTACATGTTCTCAGTTTCACGTAATAGAGAGCTCCTTACAGTCTAATACGCTAACTTTTCTCGGTACGCTAACCACGTATTTTTAAAAAAAACATCCATCGAGCCCGTTTTGTTTTCTGAACTTGTGGCCATGGGTTGGTCTGTTGGAGGGTGCTACAATTGGTGCAAGACCTCAAGCAGCAATCTGACTGATACAGCCCTCCCTAGCATGGACATTACATCCTCGATCCCTATGATCTTGCAAAAATCCCTGGTACTGAACCGCACAAAAAAATCAATAAAAAGCACGGAAGAAACACTTCTGCAGCCTGATGAAATACAATCATCCCAAAGAGGACGAGTACAGCTACCTCGGTCACCAACATGTCAAGGACTACGGGAAGCGCGACTCTAAATATGATAGAATTCATGAGTCAGGGTACTACCATGCAGCTATTTTTGGTGGTAAAATTATGTTGGGCAAAAATCCACTTAAAAAGAAAAGCCGAAAGAGGGATGGCACAATATGGATCAGTACAAGTCCCAACGGTTCATAGAACAGTTCGGAAAGGTGCGTGGAAAAATAGCCGCATATTATCTTGAAGGCAACGCGAAAGGAAATCTGATAGTCTCCAACGCTCCTTATTTTGGATGGAGCGATCGACGTAAAATCCCGAAAGCGACCCGGATCTTGCTTTTGTGGGCATTGTGATATTGCACGCTGGTTTCACGTTTCACCCACGATCAATACTTTCCCTACCGTCGCTCTCAGTCCAGTATACTCTTATAAAGATTCACAGATCTAAGTCGATCGCAAGTGGTGGTTGTGACGTGTACAATCCTGAAATGAAGCGGGCGCACGAATAAACCAACGAGACCGCTGGGACCATGCGCTGTTTTGGCGAGCCGATGCACAAAAATGACCTCCAGCTACTGTTGATCACGAAGTGCAATGCTGCCGGCTGCTTTCATTACTCGTATGATGCAATGTTGAATCTTTATTTGTGCAGGGCGACGTAGGCAGTACTTGAGCTTATCTACTTGTCACGCTCCCGTGGTTAGGGAGCTGAATTGTAACTCTGAACAACACTACCAGACAAGCGACGGGTCATAAAGTCCCCGCCACTATCACCGCGTTGTTCCTCCCGTCCCAGCAACAAGCGACATGAGTTTGACTATTTGCTAAAGCAGAGTGTAGCGCCTGCCTGATGTGTTCACACGTTCCCATACCTTCAAATCTTTCTACACTCCTGTCACGACAGCTTGAGCCATGGCCTTTCTAGCTGACGTTCAAAAGGAGGTGTGTGACGGAGAAGTTCCAGCGTTGCCTTTGCGGTGGTGGGGGCTGTTCGCCGGCATTCTAAATTTCTTTTTCTTCGGATGGGGTGAGTTACTATCAGACAATGCGAGGTCGGAGGGTCATAGGGCAGCGGTGACGGGTCGTGGGCGGCTCATTGAAAAGGCGTGATCGTCCTTACTTCACAATATGCCCGAGCAGGAACCATCCTGGCCGGTGTCCGCAGTGATCGGCCCACCACGATCTTCATAGGGGTGCTGCAGGTGAGAAAAGGCCCGAATTCCTGGGCGGGAGAACCGCCATGTCGGAAGCGTCCTCGGTGTAGGCGCTGCTCCCGCCTCGCGTTGACGAGGTGGTCTCGCGCTTTCTGATCGCTTTTTCCATTTTTCCTTCCCTTTGTTCTCATGCCAACTCTCTCTTTATTCTCAATCCTCACGGTGACTCACTCTCCATTCAGTTCATCCTTCCAGTGGTGGGGTGGATCTGGAGCATGGTGTGGGGATATCTGCTCATCAGGTTGGGAGGGAGGAAGGGAAGGAGAAAGGATGGACAGGGGACGGATGCAGCAATGCCGGGAGGGGATGGGGGATGTTTGAGAAAGAGACGCGGGCACGTACAAAAGCACGAGTGGCGTCCAAGACATCATGATGCACCGGGAAGAAAGGGAGCACACGCACTAGGACTTCCAAGTCGTCCATAGACTCACGCTTGGGATTCTGGAACCCCCCTCCCTTCTCCTCACTCCTGTCTCTTATGCTACCACAGTCGCGCTGAACAGTACAGCAGCTTGATTTGAGTCTTCTACAATCGCTGTGACCTGCGAGCTGCCAGCTTGTAGGCGCCTCATCCTGAATACCGCCCTTCTGTGCAGGGGCGAGCCTGCGCTTTTACCTAGATAAACGTGCATGCTCCTTCTTACGCTTTGCTTTCTTGGCAACTGTGGCGGAACAAGGGAGAGATTTAGCGTTTTGAAATCGCTGCACTCAAAATAGAAGGGTTGTGGAATGCACTCGTTTGCATTTATGTGGGAAGTGACACTGCGTTGCCCAGAGGTCGTGTTGGCGAGGCCAGAAGGTCATTTTGAAATTTATATAGCACTTCAAGAGCTCTGTATTGCTCTTTGATAGCACGTTCTGTAATAAGTCGATATAATATGAGTTTGTTGTTTTGGAATTCCTCACTGCGAGGAGAGGAAGTAACGGAGGGATGAAGACACAAAGTGGACTCCTGCGATTCTTAAAGGAGCATGGCTGAGGGAACAAAAGCATGGTTGATGAACGGAAGTTGCGGACGACGTGACGCGTTTGTTCACGGGTAGATTTTCTTTCCGCTAGGGCAAGACTCGATACCTCCTTCCAATGAGATCAACCTCGATAGCTTGTCTCGCAAGGGACGGATAGAACGGTAAAAATTTCATTTTGGGGTCTACATTTCTCCATCCTCCTCCACCATGTACAGGGAAACAAAGCCCCTGCCTAAACGGATATAGAAGTAAGACCCTCCTAAGCCGTTCCTCGCACTCCAGGAAGAGATTTCAGTGGAAACCAGCAGCTGTACCTCTACTCATGTCAATTGCCAAAGACAACATCCTAACTCTTATTATTCACACCCATTCTGCCCGTCTTCCCCTTCATTCCCCATCAACATCCTCCCCCAAATGTGCGGTCCAAAGAGGTATCCACAGCCCTAAGTCTAGCTCCTTTTAATTGCCTGAAGCATGCTCCCATTTCCTCCCTCGTCTATGCATTTCCCCTCTCGTTAGATCACAGCTTTCCCTTCCTCCCCTCTCTGCGTGGTATTGATTCCGCCTGACTTTTACAGATTCCCCTTCCCGCCCGCTCCACCAGCCTGTCTCTTGCCTGCCAATCGCGTCAGCATACACATATGTCCTCACTCATTTCTCTCCCCTGTCGTTTCCTCTTCCCCCCCCCCCCACTCCCTCCTTATGCCACCCCTTCCCTGGAACGGG